ATTCGCGTATATTATTGATATCAATTTTCGTTAATCGAAACAGTCCAGTCGGGCCCCGGTTTGGAAATGTGACCTCAGCATTAGATATCCTTTTTACACTACATCAACGAGATACACCAGAAAACTGTTACTCAATCAATTGGGTGGATTTTGAAAACAATTTCGTTGTGTACCTGTTATGTCGTGATCAGAAAGCAAGTTGGAACTGTTAAAAAAATGAAGCAAAGCTGTAATGCTCATTTTACCGCGAACGATTATCCTGTGTCTGTCTAAAGGCTTAACTTGTGACATTCTGTTCAACACCTCCAGTTAAATGTCAGCCACGTACTTAATTATCAACATTATCAACAGCACGGAAGACAAGAGTGGGCCGGGAAAGTTTGCGGACGTGTTCGGGTGAATGGACGCGGGTTTGTTCTGTGTCGGTGCCACGTGTTCACACATTACGGGTTCACAGGTGGTCCGGCCGCCCCAACTTTCCCCACAGGTTGCCTCCTCAACATCTTAACTATTAATCCACTTAGAACCAACCCCAGCATCCTGTTCTTGAGAACCAGGAGAAGAAAGGCGAGGAGCTGCACAAGTCATTTGGTCGATAATTCAATTAGAACTCGCCCCTCCTCAAGCAGGTAGTGAAATCTACCGTGTAAGCATCTTACGTTAGGTAGCAGAACTGGGGCGGAGCGCTGGGAAAAACTCTAGCCTCTAACAGGCTTCGGCAGTCACACCATAGCCTCTACCAGGCACCTTAGGCAGCAGAACTGGGGCGAAACGTTGGGAAAAACTCTAGCCTCTAACAGGCTTCGGGAGGCGGGTGGATCACACCATAGCCTCTAACAGGCATCTTAGGCAGCAGAACTGGGGCGAAGCGATGGGAAAACCAGCAGGAGGACCTAGCCTCTAACAGTCACACCATAGCCTCTAACAGGCATCTTGCTTAGGCAGCAGAACTGGGGCGAAGCGGTGGGAACCATGTATGCATGGGTACTCCTAGCCTCCATAGCATGCTAAAAACTGGGGGTTTGGGGGGGGTCTTCAGGCTATTTTCTGATTGCATATAGACAACATAGCCGGCCTGGTTGAATTCCCCCCGTTTTTAGAACTGGGCTAATCAGAAAACAGCCGAAGATCACCAAACCCCCAGTTCTATAAGCCTGCTACGGAGGCTAATCAGAAAACAGCCGAAGACCACCAAACCCCCAGTTCTATAAGCCTGCTACGGAGGCTAATCAGAAAACAGCCGAAGACCACCAAACCCCCAGTTCTATAAGCCTGCTACGGAGACTAGAGTACTTTACAAGCAGAGGTTTGGGCTTGGGATTAGTTCTGACTGCTATAAAATGCTTATTTTAGCGGCTATTATAGATCTGTCGGCTTGTTATGGTACTCCAGCAGAACTTCCGATTTTGATATCTCGATGGAGAGTTTGTTATACCATCTTGTAGCCCCTTAAGCTCTGTGCAGCTTACGTGGGAATGTGTATGTTCCGTGGTGCCTGGTAGAGGCTACTATTGGAGCTTACATGGGAATGTGTATGTTCCGCGGTGCCTGGTAGAGGCTACTGCTGGAGCTTACGTGGGAATGTGTATGTTCCGCGGTGCCTGGTAGAGGCTACTATTGGAGCTTACATGGGAATGTGTATGTTCCGCGGTGCCTGGTAGAGGCTACTGCTGGAGCTTACGTGGGAATGTGTATGTTCCGCGGTGCCTGGTAGAGGCTACCGTTGGAGCTTACGTGGGAATGTGTATGGGTCCGTGTAAAAGTGCAGGTCCGTCCCGATCTGCTTACGTGTGTTTGCGGAGGTGTTGAGTCCGTGTGTGGTGAGGATTACTGTCCGAGTTGTCCCGGGAACAATCGGGACCGGTCGGTGGAGAGGAGAGTAAACAAGCCTCGGTATAGCTTGGACTTAAGCCTCTTTATACTCTCCAAGCAGAGGTTTGGGTTTGGGGTTATTTTTGGCGTGTTTTCAGACTTTTTCTATCGGGCTTTCTTTTTTGCACTGAAATTTGCCTTCCACTCAGTTGGGTTGGGCGAAAGAAAAATTCCAATGCAAAAATCAGCCCAAACCCAAACCGCCTACTACGTTTTATTGGAGAGTAAACAAGCCCCGGTATAGCTTCGACTTAAGCCTCTTTATACTCTCCAAGCAGAGGTTTGGGTTTGGGGTTCTTTTTGGCGTGTTTTTAGGCGTTTTTATCGGGGTTTCTTTTTTGCACTGGAATTTCTCTTTCTCCCAAGAGCCTCTTTTATACTCTCCAAGCAGAGGTTTGGATTATTTTTGGCGTCTTTTCAGACTTCTTTTTTTATCGGGGAGAGTTGGGTGAGCAGGCCCGGGTGTCTTACCTGGCTATGGCCGGAGGATCATACTTTTAAAATAGAAGTTTATTGCAAATTTATGCCTGGGGGCTAAGTGCAGATTACAAACATAAAAGAACAATGATACTCTCCAAGCAGAGGTTTGGGTTTGGGGTTATTTTGGCGTGTTTTTAGGCTTCTGTATCGGGGTTTCTTTTTTACACTGGAATTTTTCTTTCACCCAACCCAACTGAGTGGAAGAAAAATTTCAGTGCAAAAAAGAAACCCCGATAAAAAAGTCTGAAAACACGCCAAAAGTAAGCCAAAACCCAAACCCTTTTATACGTCGGTGAAGGTTAGACATCCAGGTAATAAGATACGCCAAAAAGCAGTTTCGTCAGTCACTGAGGTAGTGGATGCTACCTGAAACGTCTGACCGTTTTCAAAATCATAATATCCAATTGCTTGAGTAACTGCTTTTTGGTAGCCTCGGGAGGCGGCTGGAAAGAGTAGAAATCGGCCAAATAGAGAGATAACATGCCATGTCTGCTGGGAGAGAACAGTTTGCCGCATCCGAATGTTCTCTCCCAACATACAAACACCCCTGGCATGTTATCTCTCTTACTCGCCCGAGTTTTACTCTTTCCAGTCGCCTCCCGAAGCCTGATAGAGGCTAGCCTTTTGCCAACCCCCTCCTTAGTAGCCGGCGGATCGCGGCACGCAGTGTGGTTAATGCCGTAATTGAGTTATAATCGGATCAGGCGGGAAGGGAGGAAGCTCTTGTCTCTGCTGACTTACCGACAGAAATCCTAAACTTGCAGGAATTTGCGCTGTTTTTTCTCTCCGTGTGAGATTATAGCTAAGCTCTGCGGCACACAGACGGGCGGGGAGGGCAGAATGCAGCACCTCTCCTGTGCGGTTATGTTTTAGAACGACCCGTGGTGCCCCCGGCTGGTGTTTAGTAGCCTCTATCAGGCGTCTGAGGCGACTAGAAAGAGTAAGAATCGGCCAAATAGACAGATAACTTGCTGGGGGAGTTGGTCTGGGTACAGCAAACTGTACTCTCTAGCGGACCAACTTCCCCGGCATGTTATCTCTCTATTTGGCAAATTTCTACTCTTAAAAACATAATAAAACTGTTTTTTCACCCATTGTTAGATGGAAAAACGGTTTTATTTACTGTAACAACTAGGAAGACAATGAGTTTCTTGACCTATTAGTATTAGGTCCAAAATCTGGGCATTTTGGAGTTGATTCAAAACCTGTTTTTATGTGCTTTTTTCTAAAGAAAAAAAAGTGAAGCGAGTGAATGTGAGAACCAGTTGCTTACCTTTGTGCGGCCGGAGTTTCTGAAGTTAAACCTCTCATCCCGGCTGTTTGTTCGCGTTATTTAGACATGAGATCGCTCAGGTGACCTCTGGGATTAGAACCACTCCCCGGGGTGCCTCACGTCTGGGGCCGCTTACCTGTACAGAGCTTACCTGGGCAGTTTTACCTGGCCTTACATGGGGCCTGGGCTGTCATACCTGGGCCGTTTTACCTGAGACCTGGGTTTTACCTGTGCTTACCTGTACGGGCCTGTACATAACCGCGTTAGATTGGGTCATTTAGCCTCTACAAGGCTTCGGGAGGCGGTCGGAAAAAGAGTACAGTTTGCCGCAAACTGTACTCTTTTGCGGACCAACTCCGCCGGCATGTTATCTCTCTATTTGGCCGAATTCTACTCTATCCAGTCGCGTTCCGACGCCTGGAAGAGGCTAAGGTGTGACTGCCTACAGTCCAGCCACCTCCCGAAGCCTGGTAGAGGCTAATGTATTGCTGCCTACCATCCAGCCGCCTCCCGAAGCCTGGTAGAGGCTAATGTATTGCTGCCTACCATCCAGCCGCCTCCCGAAGCCTGGTAGAGGCTATGAGTCCTCCGCAGTTGCGGTTGGAGAGAGGTTTTCTATCTTCCCGGTTGAAGGGCCGATCATGGATGTCGGATTATCGCTGTTCTAACCTCCCCTGGCGCGATTGGTCCTTATAAGAACATTAACCCACGGGCGGGCGGGGTTTCGCGCTATCAGCTGGTACATCGCTGCAAAAACACACGATTCTCACAAAAGTACGTCCTGATGAAGATAGGAGGTGGACAGAAGAAAGGTGTGCGAGATTTAAGGACTTTTTCCTCAGGTGTGTTAAGGTGATATTGTGGTGCAGACTTCTTTGCACTATCAGCTGCTCCATTGCTGCAAAAACAAACGATTCGCACAAAAGTACGTCCTGACAAAGATAGGAGGAGGGCAGATAGAAAGGTGTGTGAGTTTTAAGGACTTTTTACGTCTACCCTGGGTGCCAAATTCCCCTCGGGATCAGCTCCCCGTAGCGGTAAGTTAGATAGGCGGGCGAAGGGGTCTTGGTTACCGTAGGAAAACGGCTAGCGGCCCGATACTAGTTTGGCACCCAGGGTAATTTAGACAGGTGGGTGAAGGGCTCTTGGTTGCCGATGGAAAACGGCTAACGGCCCGATATTAGTTTGGCACCCAGGGTATTTTACTTCAGGTGTGTTAAGACTTAAGTTCCTCAGCTCCAGGTGGGATTGTGGGCCAGGGTTAGACGGACTTAGAGTGGCGGCGATACGCACGGGGAAGTTTTCCCGGCTGGGCTGTAGGTACACAAACGTACCTGAGTGCGGCAGGCGACAGGAGTTCCACCGTTAGGGTTAAAACAACACCTGTGCAGGTATATATACCACACCTGGTGTACAGGTACGCCCGTGCGTTCCCCTCCTTCTGACGTGTTTGTTTTGACCGGTTGCCTCTGTTGAAATTTGCAGGTGACCGCTCGTGGAGTGAGCACTGAATCAACACCGCACTTGGCTACACCTGCCGTGCGTATACACACCTGAGGACCACACCTGCCGTGCGTATACACACCTGTGGGAGATACCTGCCGTGCGTATACACACCTGAGGGCGACGCCATGTCAACTCCCGAGCCCGACACCAGCGTACCGGGACGCAGGAGTTCCCCCGGCGGGAGGCAGGAGGGAAAATCCCCGAGGACGGAGACCAGCGACCCGGTACGAGGCCACACGGCGCGGAAGGACACTAGCGGGCCGGTACGGGCCCATAGCGGGCATGTGCGGGCTCACACGCCGCCGAGGGACGGCAGCGACCCGATACGAGCTTACACGGCTCACAAGGACACTAGCGATCCGATACGAGCCCATAGCGGGCCGATACGGGCCCAAACGCCGGGAAAGGACGGCAGTGGTCCGAAACGAGCCCACACTCCGCTACGGAAGGACACTAGCGGGCTGGTCCAAGCCCACACACCGCGGAAGGAGGCTGCCATCCCCGTACGGGCCCAGACGCTATCCCCGCCGAGAGACCCCAGCGGGCCGGCCCGCACCCACACGCCGCCGTCCCCGCCCGTGATCACGCCGGTCGCCCCTCCGTTCTCCACCCCCGGCTACCCGTTCCCGCTGTTCCCCGGCTGCCGTCCCGACGGCCTGCTCCAGCCCGCCCCGATCCTCCCCGCTCAGCCACCGCACGGCGCAGCCTTCCTCCTCGGCAGGGAGAAGGCCTTCGCCCCGCTGCCGGCCGGCGGGCGCTCCGCTAGCCACTTCGACGCCGCCTTCCCTCGCTACGGGCTGTTCGAGCGCTGCCTGTGCCCGTCACTAGCACAAACCCCACAGGACTGGCTACTCAAGCCCGGCGCCGACTCAGCCCGACAGTACTACTACGGACTTCTGGAAAAGGACCGTTTCATGAGCGGGCTGAAGCCACCGGGCGGCTCGGCGTACCCCGGCGGGCTGCTGAGCACCCCCGTCCCGTCCATCTCTCCGTACCGCCCCGCTCTGCCCTCCTTCTTCCTCGGCAAGGACGCCTTCAACACGACCCACGCCGCGCCGTACCCATTCAGGTATTGTCTCAGTACTATTTTTTTATTCTTCATTTTTATATATTTCAACATATAATCACAAGACGTGGTGGGGACACACTCAAGTTTTTTCAACTTATATTAATGCCGCCACCAACACAAGGGGCAAAACAATACAATACGCGCCGTTAACCCATTCAGGTATTGTCTCAGTACTATTTTATTGTATTGCCTAGTTTGGACCATTTCTTCTTCTTTTTTTATTCCAACATGTAATGCTGAGGTCACAATACCCGCACAGGGCCCGGTCGGGCAGATATTGGGAACGAAAAATACGATATAAAAGGCAACAAAACACGGAAAATTCCTAATAACAATCATGGGAACTATATCTGTATATTCTTGATATGAATTGTCAATTATAGTGTTTGCCCTCCCTGGGCACATTGAAACTGTTAACCAAGACGTCCCGGGTTCGAGTCTCGACATGCCACCGATCTTGTGCCCTTGGGAAAGGCAATTTACAATTTCCTCAGTTAAGTCAAGTGAAAATGAGTATTGTCATGTCCTGTATATGTCCTTTGTGTTGGTGGCGGCATAAAATAAGTTGATGTAACTTGAGTGTGCCGTCACCACGTCTAGTCATGAAATGTTGGAATATGAAAAAAACCGATATGCTGTATCCCTGGTTAAATGATGTACAATAAAGGTTATTATTATTATTAATAAATTTACTACTAAGTAGTAAACAAAAACGACCCCCCTCAGGTACCCGACACTCGTCGAAGACGCCCTGCGGAAGCCCGCCGGCGCCCTGATCGACGAGAGCCCGACGTCCTCCTCCATCCAGCTCACCCTGAAGACGGCGTCCAACAAGACGCGTAAAGGCCACCTGTGCATCTATTGCGGGAAGCTGTACTCCCGCAAGTACGGCCTAAAGATCCATCTGCGGACTCACACAGGCTACAAGCCGCTCAAGTGCAAGGTCTGTCTGCGGCCTTTCGGGGATCCGAGTAACCTCAACAAGCACATCCGTCTGCACGCGGAGGGCGAGACGCCGTACCGCTGTCCGCACTGTGGCAAGGTTAGTTACAACTGCCTTACAACTGCCTTACAACTGTCTTACAACTGTTATACAACTGTCTTACAACTGTTATACAACTGTCTTACAACTGACTTACAACAACTCTTTTACAACCCTGAACAAGCACTGTAGCAAGGTGAGAACTGCTGTTGAGTGTTGTAAACTATACTCTTATAACTCTTATACTCTTTAAGACATAGACCACCTTTAACTATTTTCTACCAATGATAATAATAAAAATCCTGTTATTCATCCTCTGCCCAGGTGCTAGTGCGCAGGCGCGACCTGGAGCGTCACGTGAAGTCCCGACATCCCGACGCCGCCGCCGAACACCCGAAGAAACCCGAGGACGGACCCGAGCGGCCCCGACTCCGCCCGACGGCCACTTCGGACGGCGCGAGCGACGCCGACGCCATTAGCGACCACGACGACGCTGACGTCAGCGATAACTGAGAGTGACGCAACTTCCGGCCAGCGAGCACTGAGAGTGACGTAACTTCCGGCCATGCAGCGAACACTGAAAGTGACGCAACTTCCGGCCAGCGAACACTGAAAGTGATTCAACTTCCGGTGGAGATTTGAAAACGCGATTTACAAACTTTCTTCTGTATTTAAAGTTAAAACTTTAGATCCGACACAAAAAGTTCTCTTACCTAGAACTTTCGGCCAGTCACTCTGGTCTTCCTCTGTAGACTGACCCAGTAAGGCTTGTCACGTGGCTTCTTTGAAGTGTGACGTCAACATTGGGTCAAAGGTAGACGATGTTGGCCCCCGTCGCGGTTAAGTGAAGGTTGATGGGCCCTGATGTAAAACTTTCGTCTGTATATAGATATACATATATGAAAGATATAATGTTGTAGATGTTTTTATGATGTATGTTAAGTTATATCTATGCACGAGTCCGCCACTAGAACTGTGGTGGAAAAGTAAGGCAAATTGATTCGGACCTTCTCACAATAACGGAAAAGTTGTGAGGTAAGTCCACGACTTCAGTACAAACGGTCTGCGAACCTTCGTGTGGCTCTGGGAGATTAAAGACTATTTGAGATTTGTTTAAAGTAAAAAACACAAAGAAGTTCTCTCACCTGGAGCTTTCGACCAGTCACTCTGGTCTTCCTCAGTAGACCTGAGATTGACATAAAGGCGATTTTGTTGACGAAACAAGTGACTTGTTCCCCTACTGTGGAGTGTTTAAGTGTATCACTAGTTATTACCGAACATCCATCTACTTTGACACTAAAGAAATACGAAACGATCGTGGCTATTCTGGGGTATTAAACGTTAGGAAAAGACAAAAGATCATCTCCGGAATTGTGCAGTAAAAAGCTGTGACATTCTGTAGGGCCTCGTGTTTTTTTTAATGACAAAACAAGACTTTACCTACTACTGTATCACTTTGCTTGCCAAACATCTATCTACTTCAACACTAAACGAATACGCAAAGATTTTGGCTGTTCTAGGGTTTGAAACATTAACAAAAAGACAGAAGACAACCCTGGCGGACCCGTTTGGAAAAGATTATCCCTGGAATCTGCAGTAGCCGCGACCAGGGGAGATTCTATAGCCGGTAGAATTGTCCTGTCCTGAGATTCTAACGGAAAATCAGCTCCCGTCAATTGTCTGATGTTTGCAGATATAAAACTTTACACCGAATCGTGTAGGAAGGAACAGTCGTCAAATTTCTCCTCACATGTAGTTTTCCTGTTCATCCTGTAAATTTGGGTGTAAAAGACTCTGGAAGCGATTTTTCCTAAAGTTCATCTGTGTTGGTAGACGTCATTATGCCATTCAGGCTAGAAAGAAAGAATGAAAAAGAAGAAAGCTAAGAATGAATGACAATACATCTATTCCATCCCATACGATCCTTTCTCCACTAGAGCTCTCCCAGTGAAGCGCTGCGTACACAGAAGTCATAGAAACAAACTCGGGCAACTAGAACTAGTCTTGCTTGGCGCATGGGCCCTCTCTGGCGAATGGATACCGCCTGACCAATTTTCGTTTTATTTCAACATGCAAAAATACAATACATAGTGGTGACACACTCAAGCAAAATGCTTATATTCACGTCACCACTAGACATAAAATAAAAACTACATCACAAAATTTGATACTGTCTTTGGCCACCCTAGGATCTGCTTGGAGATTAGTCTAGAACAACCTGCGCAGGATGTTAAGCTGTATCTGTACTTAACTGTGAGTAACGCGATCCAAATTTGCCGCGTCGGTTTTCTAACGGGCATGAGTCCATGTCGCTGTACAGGATCGCCAGCTCGGATTCTGATCTAGAACCTCGGATAGCCTGTATACCGCCCCTGGCAACAGTCTGGCACCCAGGCTAGCCCTGGAGCCGAGGAGCTAGCCTGTACACCGCCCCTGGCAACAGTCTGGCACCCAGGCAGGAACAGTCTGCGCACGAGGCTAAGCTATATCTGTACTTCACTGTGAGTATAGCGATCCAAATTTGCCGGATCGGTTTTCTAACGGGCATGAGTCCATGTCGCTACCCGGGATCGCCAGCTCGGATTCTCAGATCCCAGCCTCGGGAAGCCTGGCTGTGAGCTGGCGGGATTTCCTGCGTGTTTAGACGGGAGGTAACCTCAGGACCGTTCCGCTCACGGTGGTCCTGTTACTGTTTATACTGTAGAAGTGGCGGGTAAACATCGGGATGGTTTTACAAGGACGGGGACAGAACAGGGAAAATGTAGCCTCTACCAGGCGTCGGGAGGCGACTGTTAACAAACCCCGGGCGTTAGCCTCTACCAGGCTTCAGGAGGCGGCTGGAAAGAGTAGAAATTGACCAGATAGAGAGATAACATGCCAGGGGAGTTTGTGACGAATACGATAACGTGACAACAATAGAAGTCCGTAGGAGATAACTAGTGACGTAAGCGGTTAGAGTTTCATGTGCAGTTTTGTGCAGGACGCATGAGTTAAAAAAGACAGTTTCCGCCATGCTGGAACAGCGACAGGAAAACTCAGATAATGTTTTACTGCAAATCCATGCCCGAGGGCTAATTGCAAGTACAGAAGAAACATTTGGTATAAAAACAGGCAATTAATACACAGAAAACTACTGTTAACTCATAAAAAAGGACACGTACTCAAGACTCTTATCGTGAACATCAGACGTGAACCAAGTTTGTTCGTTAGTTTGTCTGTGTACATGAGGTTTGACAGTAATAGAAAGAAGACATGATTTATATGTACATGATAATGTGAACGACGCGACGATGCGTAACCATGGCAAAAATGCGTAACCATGACAACAATGTATAACCATGGCACTGCAGTGAATAAACAGAACAGATTTAGAGATATGAACTTTGAGTGCAGACTCTGGATTGGGTGTCTGTCTGTCTGTCTGTCTTTCTGTTTGTTTGTTTGTTTGTATGTATTAAAAATGAATAACAATAAGACGACTCGTTGTAATGCGTCTTATGGATTGATTGATTGATCGATCGATCGATTGATTGGTTTATTGATTAATTGATGACGCCGGTGAAGGTTAGAGCTAAAGATAGAAAATTACATCATACAAAATACATCGATCAGTTGCATTCTCTCTGAAGTTTGGCCTTTCGGAAAGCCAATCTTCATCAATGACTGATAATGACAATGTATGGTGGAAGTATTGCATCTGAAACGTCTGAATGATCAGTAGGCCAGTGGATAGAATGGAGATGAACAGTCATTTCCCATCCATCTGATGAAGCGAACGAACTGCAGTTTCAGATAGAACCGCTGTGTGGCGCTGTGACTTCTCCTCTGTGATCTCTGATTCTGGGCCGTACCATCTCTGAAGATCGAAGTGGCAGAAAATAAAGTCCCAACGATTTCATCAGGGAAATAGGTGTAGAAGAATTTAGATTCCTAAACTTTGTTCTGTTTTGACATTGTTCAATTTATGTCAAGTAACCCATAAAATTACTTGAAATACAAAATTTAAGTCCAGAAAATTATTATCAAAGAAAACGACGGACCCTCTTCCCCCTTTAACTAAGTGAACTGTTCCAACCGACCTGAAGCTGAAAGTGGCCAATCACGATCCTTCTTCTATAATAGAACACCACGTGACCTGTGACTTCGATGACAAAGTTTCCCGCCGCTGGAGGACATCTTTGCCTGTGACCTTCCGACTTCAGAAACACACAGGTGAGTGAAAGGACAGGTTCCGTCTGTAGGTTTGAGGAAAAAGCTGAGTTTTAACGTCTGGAAACTCGCAGGTGAACTCAAGGTCAGCGCTTGGGAGTAGAAATAAACCCTCCCCCCTCCCCACGCAACACATGAACAACACAGACCCCGCAACATGTACAATGTCCCGAATATGCAAATGACTTATAGAATTGTCCTGAAATATTATACAGATACACTTGCAGACGAAGCGACCATTTATGTGTGAACTTTTAATGAAACCCGGTTTAAGTAAGAGCCAGGCATATTCGTCTTTCCATCTTCTTTCAGTATCTGCGATCTTATATAATTATACTTCGTGAAGGTTAGACATCCAGGTACTAGTAATGACACACGAGAAAAAAGTTACTCAAGCGACTGGAGTTAACTCCCCCATTAGCATCAACCTTGTTTTAGCTTTGTCTTACTTTTACTGCTTTTGTTTCATGTGAACTGCCTAAAATTTATTTCTCTCATAATTTGCATATCAATCCATAGTTTCTGGATAAACACCTGTTCAACAACTTCTGCATCTTATGTTTTTATCCTTTACTCGTGCCAGTCAGGTACCGTGTTCGGTTAGCTGCAAGTGAAACATCCACTATCACGTAATCACACAGTGAAGTTTGGGTAACTAATTATTCCTGATATCCTTAATGTCCGCCGTAACTCACGGCGTCACCAGGGGGCGGTTAGGCGGAGGGAAATGACTGCCGCAAACCTGATTACCGCATTCCCGGCTTTTTTTAAATATTCCAACATTTCATGGCTAGACATGGTGACGGCACACGCAGGTTATATCAACTTATTTTATGCCGCCACCAACACGGAACGAATACAGGACAGGACAAGACTCTTTTTCACTTGAGTTAAGTGAGGAACGCCGTGTAAAGTGCCTTTCCCGAGGGCACAAGATCGGTGGCATGTCAGGACTCGAACCCGGGACTTCTTGGTAAATTTTATTGTGGAATGAATGTACGGAACCTAGAGGTGAGCCCCTTAGTAATAATAATAATAAGAACTTTATTGCACGACAATTGCACATGGTACAATGTATGGGAAAATTAGAGAGAGTAACAACAATAAAATAAGTGTGTTGAACAAGACCTAATGTCGAATAAAACCTACCATATCTATATCATAATTATTAAAAAAATATGGGATAGCACAAGTCTTTGATAAAGTGTCACAATCGAGTGGCCTAATCACAAGTTTCGGTATTTTTTCTAATAGCTAAGCATTCCTTTATATATCTACCTATTTTTGCGTTGTGGGGGCCATTACATGTAAAGATATATTCAAATCTGTCTCCAACATCGAGACTCTTGAAATCTATGGTACTTGATTAGTACCAGCTTGTACAGACAGATTTTGCATGACAGTTCCGGTATCTGTACCAGACAGTGGGGCGGTTTGGAGTCAGTGTTTTCCCCACCGGTACGTTTTACTGACGATTACTGGCAGCTTCGTTATTGAATCACGTCAAAGTCTTAGGAACTACATTATTAAGTTATCAAATAAACCCACAAGTCTGACAGCACCAGGGTCTCTGTGGACCGTTCGAAAGTCGCTACATTTAATCCCGAACTTTATCGTCTGGATGCTCAAATATAGATACTCTAAACCGCTACATGTGGCTGTTATTCAGAACGGTAACTATGTAGCAAATAGGACATCGGAACAGCCTAGAGAAACACAAGTGTAGCGGAAATGTTGCATTATTACTCTCCTCGAGATTGACTCCATAAGTTAAGTTGTAGAAGACCATACAAAAGTCTCTGTACTTTTTGTGTTGTGTCAATAAAGAATCATGTCATAAAACGCGCTCGAGACAAGCTTAAATTAGCTACATTCATCAGACAACAAACCTTTACATCGCCAACTTGTGAGTTATAAGATAACCTACAGTAGTTATGTTAACCTTCGTAGAATGAAACACATTTTTTGCTCTGTTTCTTCTTCTTCCTCTTCTTCCTCTCCAGACAAATAAGGTCAGTGACCTGGACCAGACATCTGTCACCATGGTAACTGGTGTTGGGTTATATCATGTTGAAAGTGCCATGCAGAATGAGTTCAAGAGGGGCTTCATGGTCACCATATATGTATATTATGAGTGTATTTGAGTAGGAATAAACAAAGCAGTAGTTTGTTAAGCTGGGCCATGTGAAGGTAAACATGATGCATTTGCTTTGCATGATGTAACCCTTCTATCTCCCACGGCGTATTTTCCATCAAAACTACCGCAGCGCTGCTTCACAACAAGACAGTTATTTATCACATGAGAGGCATTAAATAGTCCATCAAGATGGCGATAAGCCGCAGTTTCCCCGCTAATTTTCCTCAGTTGTGAACAGTTAGGACTAAATAAAGAAGCATGAGGTACTCTAACGTCCCGTAGGAAACGGGGGCACTTCATTATACAGCATGAGAACCATCAGGAGATATATCATTGTGACTATCCGAGTCGTTACACCATTAGGCCACACGCCAAAAAGCAGTTACTCATTAGGCCACACCATCTTAATTCTATGGATGACATCCGCGCGCGCATTGATTTTCGCCTGTTGTCAAAAGAAAAAAAAAAAGAAAGATCACGTCCTCAGAGGCTCTGGCCTGGCTCTAGGCCCGGGTAGTCCATGGTAGTTAGCGACAATACGGAGCCGGGCACCCAGGCTACCGAAGCTCCACGACTCAAGAACTCAGTACATACATACAGTGCCGATTCATAAATTCTGCAAACGGCCAGCATGTCATACATACGTCGCTGTGTACTGCTGCAAATTCACAATAGCATGAGGCATTTTAACACACTACAGGGAACGGGGGCACTTCATTATACAGCATGAGAACCATTAGAATATACATCATTGCGACTATCAGACCCGGTAGACCATTAACGCGTACAAAATCGGCGTTTTGGAGAGATCCGCGGACGCGTGTATGAACTAACGGGGACTGTGGGACTGGTCTAGGGACGCTATTTGTGCGCACTGGGGCCACACCAGCCTCTTAGGACACCTTCCATTTTAAAGCTCTGTAGCTATAGGACACTTTTCAAACTGCTAAGTACCATAACTCAAGTAAAATTGAAGAGCTAGATAATTAAAATACACTGACTAATGTTTGTATTCCATATACATTGCAAAAATTAAATCATAAGCTATATTAATATGTCTCCATTGCTTCGAAATTATACCTTAAGCATGACCGACATACAGAAGACAGAAAAAGCTAGCCTCTACCAGGCTTCGGGAGGCGGCTGGAAAGAGTGGAAATCGACCAAATAGAGAGAGATAACATGCCGGGGGAGCGGCAAAGGGTTCTCTCCCTGCAGACCAACTCCATTGGCATGCTAGATCTCTCTATTTGGCCGATTTGCACTCTTTCCAGCCGCTTCCCGAAGCCTGATAGAGGCTAAGAAAGAGCCACAGTTCTGACAGAGCCAGTATTATCACGCCACGTCCTTAGTTTATCTCCTAATCTGGAGTGTGCGGTTTGGTCTGAAGAGATGGTCTGGTGCTCGCGTGAAGACTGGATAACGTGGTAATAATGATATCATAATCTCGCTTTAGTCCTCTGAGTTATCATATATTAATGTATAATGACCAGCGCTTACGTTAAGACTGGCAGTTATCATAATATCATAATCATAATCCCAGCTCGGCCCTTTAAGATATTAATGGTTACAAATATCATAATCTCGGATCGGCCCTCTAAGTTATTAATGGCTAATTACCAGCGCTAACGTGAAGACTAGATAATGCTAATATTATTATAATGTCATAATCTTAGCTCGGACCTCTGAGTTATTACGTATTAATGTGTGATGATCAGCGCTTACGTAAATACTGGATAGCGCAGTTATTATGATATCATAATCCAAGCCCTCGAAGTTATTAAGTGGGGCTATTAACATCATAATCTCAGCTCGGCCCTGTAAGTTATTAATGTGTGACGATCAGTTCTAAGCCGGCAGTGTGTGGTCCTTGTCCGGTTCAGCCGGAAATCGGGCCGCGATTATCGTATTGTGGTCGGATGTGATCGTATTGTGGTCGGGCGTGATCGTATTGTGGTCGGGCGTGATCGTATTGTGGTCGGGCGTGATCGTATTGTGGTCGGGCGTGATCGTATTGTGGTCGGGTGTGAAAAGATCTGTCGTAAGTCTGTCTGTTTCCTGGGAGTTGGGCGGGGGAAATGCGGATAGTTGTCAGAACCGTACTTTATCCAGAACCATGCTTTACCCAGAACCGTGCTTTATCCAGAGCCATGCTTTATCCAGAACCATGCTTTATACAGGTACGGTTATGGATAGTACACGCGTATCCAGAACCGTACCTGGGGCAAATGTATGTTCTTGGATACGCCGAGACTATCCAGAACCGTGGCTGAGTCGTGTTGAGGGATCAGTGACAGTTGGCGTTAGTGGTTGAGCTGGGCCCATTGGTGCCGGGAGGATTTTCTAACGGCCGGGAAACAAGAAAAGAAAAGGGAGAGACAGTGGGCTGTGACGGCCTTAAGGCGCGCGTCTTTCCTTAGTGCACTAAGAGACAGCGCCTTAAAGACGGGGTTCTTTCTCAGCGCGCTCAGACGTCTGTCTCCGCTCAGCACCAACACTTCTGCTTGGAGATTAGGCCGAGTACTGTCTTGTTGTAGTATTTTGCTTGAAGCGGTTGATATCCTCACTTTCCCCACAATACCTGACCAAACACACCTCTATGCCTATGCAGGTTGTCTGTTTATAGATATGACTAGGGCACGCCTCCGCGGAGGTAATGCGTGTAGCCCCACTGCATGGACACAAGCCGTGCGTAAGTCTCCCAGCCAACCATTACCAACTTTCTGCACACTCAAGTTTTTTCACGGAGGCTTTCGCCGTCACTCTCCGTTCGAAGCACACGAGGCTGGCTTCAATAGAAATATTTCAAACCGATCATTCCATATTCTCAACAGTACAAAAAGAGGAATCAAATTCCTTTCCCTGCCCTGTGCTGAGCCCGTTGGGGGCAGAAATGCGCGATAAAGGTGTTCTCTATTTCCCGGTGACACGCCGACCTCCGGACTGAGGGAAAATCCGTCCCCGCCTGCAGCTGCCTTGAACTTGGAAACCAGATCAATAAGTAAGTCACCGCGCCTATTCTTCAACCTCTCCTTGAAGTGCCGGGACGGATTAATCTTTAAGTCTTTCCTTCTCAAGACGCGGTGAAGCATGTCTCCTCCCCCGTAGAATCTCGGGTAATTTCTGCATGTAAAATGTTTGCGTGACGTCGTGAGAGAATCCGAGTCTGGTTATTCTGTACCCGAACTGCTGACAGACAACCTCGCGGATTGTGCCGCTGCTCTGAACAGTCTGAGGAATTCCCAAATCACAAGATACGCCAGAAAACAGCTACTCAACCAACTGGATATGATTGTGGAAACGGCCAGACGTTTCAGGTAGCATCTACTACCTTTCGTCAGTGACGCTGGAGAGTTGTGAGAAAAGCAGGTTTATAAGCTTGTGGATTTTGCGGCGGGTCTGAAGAGAAGGAATTTCCTGCAGGATGGTTTCTCTCTGCGTGCGCGTTTATCCGGGAAGAACTGTTTTGTCTCTGCAGAGGATGTACCTAGTGTTATCTGTGCTCAGGTGAGTCTATCTAGCTGAAATTATCAGGTGATGATAGGGAGATCTGAGTAAAGCGTTTTGGCCATTCTTAGTGAACTTAGTGATATGCTGGCATCAGTGAACTCAGCACAGCCATAGTTGTCAGGTGAGGATAAGGATATCAGAGTTAAGCGTTTCGGCCATTCGTAGTGAACTTAGTGATACACGGATCATGATGGCATCAGTAAAACCAAGGACGTGCGGGGTGCTAATTCCTTCCTATATAATGTCCTTGGTGAAATCAGAGCACCGACACTTGTAGCCTTTTTTTGCTAAAAATGCTGACAGGCCGGTAGCGGATCTTGGGGAGCGGACAGAAGCTAAAAAGGCTTACACTCAGGCTACGACACCTACAGTACGTGGACACTTTATTTACTGCATTAATTTTCATTCAAAGTGTTCAAATAATATTTATTTACAGCGTTACACAGAAAGGTTCAAACACACACACACACACACACACACACACACATATATATATATATATATATATAAACAAAACTCCACTCGTGTTTTTGGATGCAGATTGAACTGTGACTGTATGGCAAGCTGTTCATATACATATGCATATGTACGTTAAAATAAACACAAGGAGTGTGAACAAAATTAAGATCTCCCGTTTAAATTTCCTCAGTCCTTCTCGCTAACACCTGCCGGCATATGCCGCTAGACGTACTGAGAATTGAGATATTCTTATTCCTACGAGTAGAGAATATTCCACTGTGTGACCAGAATACACTCAGTACATTACCTACAGCCCCTAGAAACAACTCCAGCACCTGCGGCGCTCTCGGCGCTTTACTTTAAGTAAAAAGCCTCTGACGTTATCGGGCTATCTGTGAGCCGTACCGGTGCAAAGTTAAGCCGGCCGGCGCGTCAGAGTAGAAAGTGCCACCGCGAAATTTGCATTCAGTCTGGGCTACAGGTTTTATCAGGACACCAGCAGCAGGAATGTCACACGGAAAAACCCGCCACGTCACAGATATGTGTTGGTTTATATGATTGTGAACCCCCTTTTTTTGCAGTCGTGAGATCTGACTTGTGAGTTTAAGTCAACTGTAGCTTTGCCTGTCTTTTCAATTTAATCCTGTTACTTTTGCCTGCCTTTCAAGTTTCATATCAGCCGCTGTAGCTTTGCTTGTAGCTTTGCCTGTCTTAATATCAGGTCCTGTAGCTTTGCCTGTCTGTCACCTGTGTCTGTATCTGTATAGCCGGTATAACCTACCTTCCGCGTAACACACCAGCTTTGCGGGCACGCGGCGCGGTGGCAGCTGGCTACATTACACTGAACGACCTGTTACACCTAACCTAATTGTCATATCGGGTCATGAAGCTTTGCATTTTCCTCGTTTCCCGTGAAAAGTCGACACCAGGGCGCCGAATTCTCCTTGTAAACCTGACTGACTTTAGGGACTATAAAGTGTTGTAACGTTTGGCATTACATGTTCGTTACTGTCAGTACTTAACTTTTAATTAAACATTTAGGAGGACAGACTATCACACAAAAGTGCGCCAAGGCAACGAAATGTATAGAAACTAGCCTCTACAAGGCTTCGGGAGGCGGCTGAAAAGAGTAGAAATCGGCCAAATAGAGAGATAACATGCCGAGAGAGTTGATCTGCTGGAGAGAACAGTTTGCCGCTGTTCTCCAACAGATCAACTCCCCAGGGATGTTATCTCTCTATTTGGCCGATTTCTACTCTTTTCAGCCGCCTCCCGAAGCCTGGTAGAGGCTATACAGAAACGTCTTTTCATCTGAAACTACGGCTATGAAGTCTTCACACGTTGATTTACTTGTACATTCCCCAGTCACAATTACGTGTAATTGAAAGGTGCTTTAAAACTTCTGTTTTCTTGAGATTTTACTGAGATGCACAGTTTATGTTAAACCTACCAATCCTGACTTAGATCGCAAACACCAATATCTCCGTGTTCCCGATATACAGAGCAATAAAGAGCGTTTTACAAGCCTGCATTTATACACGCCGCCAGGTTTTACCGTGTGTTCTATATTAAAATGGAGTCGAAAATTGTACAGTTTTAACGATGAAAGTAATATTTAGGAAAACAGCGCAGCTAGGATCGGTCGTTAGTTACTTTCTGAGCGCAACAATTGTCCATTTGTCCCAATTACACAACGATCACCGCTGGTGGCGCATTTGTTTTAACGTTATAAATAAAACATGAACATCTATTTTAGATTCTTCTAATTTCCCAAAGACGCATAAAGTTTTCTGGGGCCACATAAAATTCTCGCAGGTTACCGAAGCCCGGTGAAGTAAAACCATGACTAATTCATTCCTCAATTTCCGCCGCAGTTTTCCAGAATAATTCTGTCCATTAAGCAGGCGGCAGCTGGAAATGAAGTCTGATTTAAAAGCGTCTCAGTAAAAACTCCCAGTCAGTAGGATCGACAGGCACCAAAACTCTTTTGAGTTACAGGCAATGCCTGCAATTGCTGCATCAAAACCTGCAATTCTCCTGCAGTCTCTTAGTGTAACTGACGAAAGGTAGTGGATGCTAGCTGAAACGTCTGACCGTTTCCAAAACCATATCCAATTGCTTCAGTTAGAGTTTTGTGTTCTGTTCTGTGTTCAGTTCTCCACTGTTTCCCATTGTTAAGATGAAGGGTAAAACTAGTACAGACACTACAGTACAGTTTGTGTTGTTCCTTGTGTTCTCCAGGGTGACGACGTGTGTCCAGGAAGCCGTCACTCCCACCGAGTCGTTCTTCCGTCTGCTGGACGACTACGATCACAGGATCAGGCCCAACTTTAACGGTATGTATCTGTACTTGTACCTTATCTATATCTACTGGCGATGATACATGTCATCACAATCTGGCGTGATACAAAACTAATGACTAGGATCACAGGATTTTATTTTATTTCAGGATCAGGCCTAACTTCAACGGTATGTATTTGGTTTTTTTATTATTTACTTCATAGTTCACCTCAAAACAAGGCTCGTGAGAGCCACTCAAATGCTTTGGGTTACTGTACAGCCAGTGAGGACAGATGTTTGTTAACCTTAGACTTGAAAAGTGGGGAAAGAAATCCACCTGCTGAACCAGTGTCTCTTATCCAGGCGGTACTATTCATTACTTATCCCCGCAATTAATTCTGCAGCCTTCAGCATCACACAAAAACTCGTCAATAAACGATGAAAACATCCACCTGCTGAACCTGTCATCAGATCTCCGCTCACGTTCCTCACGCGGCACCTCTCATTGCATTTTTTTTAAAATTCGGTTTGGTAATTTATGTCATTATGTGTAAGTCTTAGCTGCCAGCTCAGCCTACCACTTTGTACTACCTTTATTTTATATGTGAACATTAAAAAAAACTCGTCAATCGGTGACAGCGATGAAAGAAATCCACCTGTGATCAGATCTCTGCGCACGTTTCCCACGCGGGACCTCTCATTGCCCTTGGCCCAGTTTTTGTTGCGTTGACGCCTGAACGCGTTTCGCGCTCCGGTAAGCCTTCATGCTGCTATAGAACCCGCGGCAGGCGCGCACAGATGTAAGGAGCTGACAGGCAAACTCTGTTAACGACTCTCATAACAATTTCATCTTTTAATAAAGCCATAAGAGAGTTGATGCAGCAGCACGTTTGTAAATTATAAAACTGCGTTTTGTCATCCATCTTTCCCATGTGTTGCTCTTCTTGTATTCCTTTCCATTGCTTTCTGCCCAATCCTTTGTAAATTAACGTGAACAGAGGAAAAGGAACAAAGCAACCAACAACTGTGTGATAGAACGATTGCCGCGAATTTTCAAGCTTTTCTTTTAGTGATATGATAATGATATGATATGAATCTTTATTGCATGTTCTTGCCCAGATGGGCTAAAATATTTAGTATTCAAGTATACAAAGAGTAGCCAAGTTTTGATCTGGCAAGTTTTAGGCTTCTGGTATTTTGTACCAGAACACACCTCCTTCTGCAATGAGCCTTCCATCACTTGGCTAAGGTCCAGTCCAGTGCGCCGATGTGTAGCGAACGGCTCACAGTTTTATTCTCTAAAACCATAAATGAGGCCTCCGGATGACGATAAAACTGTAGCATGGCAGCGTTGTGACGAAGTTCCGACGCCCCCTTATACAAAATGCAGCCACAAGTTTCACTGGTCCATCATGTAAAACCTGACCTAGTTTTTGCTGTGGACTCGCCTCAGTAATCCCTCCATCAGCGGCTGTACAGGCCCTGCGGCTGCAGCTTACTGATCGGACAGGCAGATTCCCACTCAGATAACAGCGCGCAATTCTAGCTTTAAAAGCCGAAAATGTAGGCTTGATACTCATAGGAAATTCACACCCTATTACTGTATGAATTACGGAGATAATATCCGTAGGCTTGATAGTGTGAACTATCAATCTATCAATCAATGGTTTATTGTGAGACTCAAAACAACCATACCATGGCAGCTTTTTGGCCAAAACTGTACTGTGTGATCACAACATGGCCGCGAAGTCCAATTGTAAGAGTGGTCGAGACCCAATATTAATGTTGTCTAATGCTGTAAAATGATAACTCCTTACAAAGTTGGTTTTGTGGCGGTTTTCTGACTGCTTCTCTGACGCAACATGGTTGGCAACAACTGTGGCGATAATGGGCGTTTTACGACACATGCCCCGCTTTGCCACAGTTTGATACCGCGGCGACATAATCTGTCATTTTACGGCAGGTTTATGAGGGATTCGCACATCCCGATGAAATCTGGTGCACATCGATTTGTGGACTTGTAGCGACTTGTTACCTGTGCGAGGATTGTTACATTGTAGCGTCACGGATCAGTGACCATCTGTCGCAAGAGCCACGCGATTATCCACGCGCGCCTGGGGGCTATTTACAAAGCAGGGGTGAACGGCCTAGGAACGGCCTAGGAACGGCCTAGGAACGGCCTAGAAACGGCCTAGGAACGGCCTAGAAACGGCCTAGGAACGGCCTAGAAACGGCCTGGGAACGGCCTAGGAACGGCCTAGGAGCGGCCTGGAAACGTTCGAAGGGGGTTTCTTTTTTTGAACTGGATTTTTTTACCCAACCCAAGAAAATGTAAAAAAAAAAAATTCCAGTGCAAAAATGAAAATTCCAGTCCAAAAAAGTAACCCCGATAAAAAAAGCCTAAAAACACGCCACAAATAATCCAAAACCCACACCTCTGCTTGGAGAGTATGAAATCCGGTGGACTGCGGGTCAGTACAACGTTCCTGCTGGATGTGTGAAAAGGCAGAGACAATCGATACTTGTGGGCAAATCGTCCGCAGACATCATCTGAAGAACGCCTCGAGTCCAAACTTCACAGCCGCACGCCACCATAGCGGCGGTTCAAAGGGTTCGGGTGATGTTTTACATTCCGTTCGCGTGTGGGGATGTGATGGTGGTTGATACAACTGTGCTTTTCTCCTCGCCTTGCCGTGAAATAATATGGAAATCTACGTCGATGAAGGTTAGACATCCGGGTAATAAGATATGCCAAAAAGCAGTTACTCAAGCAAAGTTCCAGAATCATACCCAGTTGCTTGAGTAACTGCTTTTTGGCGTAATATGGAAATCTACCTGCAGAAGAAGAGTAGTTGAGAATAATGGTGAACAAAGCCAGACTTAAGGAGGGTTTTGATGAACCACCGCCTTGTTGTCAGTGTAGATTTGATAACACTGGAGGGATGTAAATTCTAGGCTTATTTGACGCATTCAGTCAGAGAAAAATGGAAGGATGGTTTAGAGCAAAAATACGATACGATACGACTTTATTGGTTTATCGCAGTCTACAGAGAATGAATTAAAACCCAATTTACATGAATTTTATCTCGTTTTCAACATTACAGACGCATATATTTACAAGCTTTCAACTTTTAAAATTAGCATAATTAAAAGGTATACGGAAGAACCTCAAGAATTACATACGTTGTCCGATTTTAAATTCACTTTACATAGTTTGAGAACTAGCAGCCGTACTGATTCAGCAGTCGTGTCAGGTAAGGAGTTGTGGAATGACTGTATCTCTGTGTATTCGCCTTTGGTATGTCCAGTTTATGTCCATTTCTAGCAGTACGTTGCGTTGCTGAAGCAATGATACTAGCTGCAGAATGACTGTTGAATGTCACAAAGGGTGCGGATGGGAAAGAGGGAAATGGGGGGAATGGATTCAACATAGAGGGTTGTCAATGCTGATAAGAAGTGTTCCGATGTGGATTTTTCCTTCGATGGTTGACATTTCTGAAAATGTTCTGATATGGATTTTCTACAGTAATACTAGAGCCTTCCAAATAGAAACGGCAAATTTACGAAAAAGGCGTTTTCATCAAGACTTTCTCCTTGAATAACTGGTTGACATTTCTGAAAATGTTCTGATATGAATATTCGACAGTAATACTAGAGCCGTTTCCGCCTTCCAAGAAGAAATGGCAAATTTCCTAGAACCGCGGAAGGCCTTGTCTCTAAATAACTGGTTGACATTTATGAAATGTTCTGATATGGATTTTCGAAAGTTAAACTGAGAGCCTTCCGAGAAAAAATGGCAAATTTCCTAGAATCTAGGAAGGCGTTTTAATGAAGTCCTTGTCCCTGCCTGAATAACTGGCTGACATTTCTGAAGGAAATGGATTTTACACAGTAAAACTAGAGTCTTCCGAGAAAAAAAATTCTAGAACGCAGACCTTGTCCCAGGAAAACCCGTGGGCGGACTCGTCTGTCAGGGTCAAGTTCAGGCGCAGTGACGTCACACAAATGCGGGCCTGCGGCCATTGCGGACCAGATGGAGCTTTGCACTTTCTCAGACTCTCCTTACATACATCATCGGTCCGTCTTCTGGCTTCCCGCCAAACCGCTAACTTCTGGGTCTGTCATTGGGAATTCTTCAGACGTAGTATATGGCATCATTCCCGTGTCAAAATTGCTTACAAAAGGTACCTTAAATTGACGTAAACACGTCTGCGACGCTGCCCTTAAAAGGAAAGTTTTGAATACACGACAGGGGCCTTACGTAGCCTTTATCATACCAAACAAATTCCGTGTCGTGAATACTATGTCTTGACAGGGACGTTAACGATAGTGTGCTACGGTTCCCTGCAAAATCGCATATCATAGCAACATTGAAGTATATATATATATATATATATGTATCTTGCATATTGCATGGGGAATCTAATAAGTTACGCACCGCAAAACTTCTTTCTAACACATTCTCATTTAGTGATATAGTACTTTTATTGAAGGAAAATACAAGAAATGACGGTGACTACTTTAAAGGCAGACTATTGTATCAGTTCAACTCGTTAGAGTAGGCTAGTAATGTAGACAGATAGTCTGTACCACACTGAGATTCTGCCATGTAAATCAAGGTTGGATATATCTTCCGTATTGTTTGACGGGCAAGAATTATCGATTTGCGAAATCAAAACGTCCATGATAAGGACCCCACTGTGAAGCAGATATTACCTGAAACGTAGACAATCTGATCACCTGAAACTGCAGACACTTTCGTCACGAATAAAACGTGGCTGCAAAACGGTTAGTTGCACATCATCATCTATCTGGGCAAAACGTAGCCAGCTATGAAGCACATTTACTATATTATGATACATTGACTTTTCCCCTTGTAAAACAATTTATTCATGCAGAAAGCCAGCAGACACTTGTTACATATGTAGTGTCAGGTGTGGTTTGATTTGAATGATACAGGAAAAAAACGTAAAACATACCCCTACTTTACATGTTCTGGTGTAACACATTGTGTGGCCCCTAACGCATGTGACAAGATTTACTTTGTTCGTTATTC